CAGTCCACAGCTGACCTCACTATGGAAGGCCTGACTTAACAGAGATTAACCCTGCCACAGAAGAATCCTGAGTAGACAGAAGGAAGTCATTCGATAAGACTGAGAAACTTCCCCGACTGATATGGTTGGGATATGTATTATGCATGTCTAATAATTATTCACCAGGTACAAAATATGAGCTGAAGAAGGTTTAGGTTGGAAGAAGTTAGAGGTGGTTAGACTGATACATAGCACCAGTCCATGGTATGTGACTGTTTGTCTGAGGGGTGTAGGGGAAATGTAAACCTCCTGGTTAAGTCTACATGACAGGCGAAGTAGGTGGCTGAAGACTACATTATACGGTTCGGAATGGACCACCGTGGCGCACATGGATCTACAAATTATTATCACCATAATCGTAGTACCGAATTTCGCTATTGTTGCATTTCGTTTTGTTTTCTTACTACTACCACTACTTTTGATTACGTTCTTCTTGATTTATCTACCACTATCGAAGTGCCTACTACCTTGATGCGTCGGTACGAGGCTTGGCAAACTGGACAGTTACGCAGCAGTGTCAGATCTCACGTTGATGCCGAGTGACTGGAGATGACATTTTAGGACTGATCTGCACCATCTCCTACTTTAAAGAGAGGGATTAAAATAGTAGACATCGTTGATCAATTCTCTTACTTAGGGAGCTTCACCGGCACAAATGGGTTGGCTGCAGACGAAATCCTAGCTCGGATAAAAGAAATCCGTTCAGTATCCTTTAGCGATCGGGATGGCTTACATGTCCTGTCAATATCTGGACACCACCTACATCGACGGACAATGTTAGCCGATTCAGAATTAGGTTAGAAGGAGAATAGGGGTGGCCAGACGAAAAGTAGTACTAACCTATAAAGATTTTGTTCATCTGAATTGTGTAGGAAGACCATGTGGCTCGGGTCCTCAAAATGATATGGATTAATGGTTGCAGATTTTCGATGACACGGTTTAAAAATATTCAGTAGAGCAGATAAGAAGCACCAGAATTGTTATTAATAGCATTTTTACAAATGACTCGTTGATACCTCTGATTGCAAATAAGTTATATGGAACAGGCGGTGAGGCCGATGAGCAAAAGACCCATCAGTATCAATGATTTCCTTCGGTAATAATTTTCAAACTTCCTCTTGCGATCTCTGAATATGGGTATAAAATTCTTTTACTTCAGCACCGCAGTCAATTAAACCTCGTTTTCATACCGGGAATATAATATGACTGCATTACTTAATCTACTTTCTTTTGCATATCCATGATTAACATGAAATTGGTTTAGATATCGGACTTAATGTTTGAAGTTTCTATGAACACGTTCCAATTAAGTTGTTCAAGCAGTGAGAAGGTAAAAGATTATTATGGGGGGAATATGAGTTGTTTGAGGGAAAATTGAAATCAGAATAAGCGCCACTGATTTGAGTTACTGCAGATGCCTGATGAGAAGTATGGTTTTAGTAGTTTATTAGAAGTACAAGTAGTATTTACGGTGGAGAAATCAGGAAATGACTAATAATTAAAAGATAAAACGTATATGCAAGAAAATCAAGAATTTGAGGAACCATGCCAAAATAAAACGAAGCTCTATGACACTGAAAGATATGACTGTTTGACGTGTGTAACAACATTTCGAGAAAAAGTAGTTACTTCCGGATTTAGAGTGCGCAATCGTCACACCTGTGTACAAAGTGAAAAGTAGCAACATAACATAGGTCTATCTTTTAGCCCACCTCCCCCCCCCAATGATAAGACCATGCATAGGTTAGTAAGTGGATCACAATTAACCAGCCTGCTGTGAAATCTAGTGCTTTTAACCCAACAGACTTTTGGACCAAACCGTCTAAAGAAAAACCAATTAACGGTCGCTATAGGGTGATTGCAGCAACTCCGCTAACACCAAAAATGCTAAAAAATACTTTCAGTAGAGTAAACTATAGTGTATTGGTACTGAAACTCACCTGTCAGAGAAACGGAACCTTTGCTAATGACTAGAGATACATCACGAAGATCAATTACTTAGCATCAAGGTTTAGTCGCCAACGCCTTAGTGTAGTAGAACTCTTTGGTGTTCTAGGCTCGGTTTATCGGTATTGGTAGTTTGTCACTGATCTGCATGCTTCTTTTATATCTAATCAACAACTATCTGCTTTGGTAGAACTATAGTTTTGCCGTCCTTCAGCTAGTCGCAAATAACCTTAGACGCATCTATAGTGAAAGGCTTGGTTTTTTAACTGTAATACAAAAATGAAAAGAAATAACAATCAAGATCTTAGGAACTTGTTTCGGTTTTCGACTGCTTTTGACTAATTAATGTAATGTGGGATAAGGATATCCATAAACGTAATTCCATAACATTGAACCCCCTGAACTGCGATAAGAACGTAGATAAATCTTTAAGCATTCCCTATAGCTTCTAAATTATTTTCCAGAACCCCTGTACAAGGATTCAAGAATTAGACTTTGACAATTAAGGAGAGATATCGAGTTCATGAAAACTAATATCAGGTTTCATACTAAAAAAACATAGAAATTAGGTCATAAAGCTGCGGTAATGCTGAAAAGAGAACCTACTCGCTGTTTATTCACTGCTTTATGACGTGATGCGGATCGCTGACTGACTGACAAAACCAACGCAGAAATTGCCAAACAGGAGCACCGGTTCAAGTTGCCCCATTTGACCGTAGCACACAAATAACAGGTGAAATGACAAAGGTTAGTGCAAATACTTAAATTTTAGGTGTTGAGGAGTGAATACATCTGCGCCATTGTGATCGATTTTCGTTCTCAGACCCCCATCATATTGTGGCAATTTACACTATAACGGTAATTGTTTTTCATCTTATCACTATTCAACAAACTTTTCTAGTATGGTAGGACCTGAAGGGAATAAGCGTTCCTGCCAGCTTAGCTCGTTGGGTCATTGTGGTATGCAAGCCCGATTGATGTGTCAATGTAGCAGCTATCAGCCATCGATGCGAACTGCAAAGTTACTTAGAATCCAACTGTGTATTCTTTCTTTAAATTGAAATGCACTCGGCAACCTTGCACACATGAGTGCAGTCAGCAGTAAGTCACATCTATTGTGCAAGGATTAATAATGCTACCCAGCTGTCTGAACCTCAGTAGGTGGGGTGGTGTCTCATCCCGTGACCCCTAGGTTGATAGTCAGCTGACTAATCCAGTGAATTACGGTAGGGTTCAAGGACTCAAAATAAAGATTGAGATTAGGTTTTGTGTACGACCTATTACTAGAGTATCTACGAGTGAACTTCCTGTCCATAATTTTGCCCTCTGAGTAATGCAAAAATATTTCACACCTATAAATTACTAGACGGTGAGACCATTATGTGAGAAATAACTCCTTTAGATCTACTGGTGTTAACATAGAGAAAATCTCACACAAACCCATCTATACCAAAGTCATTCGGTGAAGGCAAAAGAGTAGACAAATCCAACAAATGAGTGACTACTCTTGAATAACCGATCACTGCATCTGGGCAGCCCATGTCATTAGCAATCAACAACGTGTATCAACCGCGCTCATATATTAGTCCTGGTAAAGTTTTTCAGCATTGCTCGGATAATGGACTAACTGATGCGTTAGAAATATGACTAATCAGAGTCATAGTGAAGCTATTGATGGCTACATATTCAGGTGTTCCGTTTTTCACAAAAAGAAATCTGCTCGTCATGGCATGTTGTCATTGCGTCTTTAATCCCTCACTGGGCAAGTTCTTTTCTAAACCCAAACTGTTTGACAAAAATTCTGTTTATACGCTACGATTGGGCTTTGAAAAGACCTGTTCGGTCAACCAAGTTGATAGAAAGAATCCAAAACAGAAGCTTGTGTTACCATCCCTATTGTGCAGCATTTAGTTGTTCATGAAATAATACTTCATACAGATCAGTGGTATGCTTACAAAGGATTAAGCACCCTCGGTTGTTCATCACACGGTTAACCACACCTTCAAGTTCAAAGACCGAGTACCAAGGGTACAGACAATTTCCATCGAAGTGTTTAGGTCGCCACTATAAAATGGAATGACGACGGTTTATGGTTTTAAAGGCAAATAATGGACATCCACTTATGCAAATTTAAGTACCGAAGTCGGTTTCAATTCAGTATTGATAGTGCGAGCGTTGAAATCTGATAGTTTTTGATCTCTCGCGTATAGTTCTTAGGGCTTGGCTCAAGTTGTTCGGTTTGCCACTGCAGTGGACAAGCAAATCTCTCCTACCTTGTTGCTTTCAGCTTCGGTGAGGTGGATGTTTTGTGGGTTACTAAATTGCAATTTGTAGAATGATTAGGTAGCTACGGGTTGCTGGGAAGATTAGGGGTCAGTCGTGACTCCTTAGACACACCTATATATAACCGAAACACTTTTGTTTAAAATCTTGTTAAAAACTATCCACTCCATGTAATTTTTGTACTTAGTATGTTTCGTATATCCTTTAACACTTTTTCCATATCCCAGAGTTCCGAATCATTGTTGAAGGCCATTCGTGATTTCGTTAAGTCTGGTGTTCATCCTTAGGCTTCACCCAAAGCTTCACGCAAAGCTTCTCAGAATAACTAGTCACTTGCAATATGACCGATAACCTCAAGATCATTTCATATTCAGCAAGGGGAGCCAAAATTCTAGAGTTATACCGTTGATTTGGAGTTTTGGAGAGACCGACAAGTTCAGAAATGCCACCCCTCCCCAGAGACCTCTGAACAAAACTTGCGAGCAGTTACAGTTCCCGAATTTTACTCTGCGAATACCATAACCTAAGATACATCTGATCTTCCTCAACTAATCTGGAGTGAGGGTGTTTACAAACATCATTTAGTATTTGCCGTGAAGTACAGTATTACGAGACTACAAAACAAGTGAGCATACACCTTAACCACTGAAATTCAGGACTGGGAAACATCGTCAAAAACTACTTCATAACATCAATCTTTACGTGTAGCAGAGAACAGAGAAGAGACTTACAAAAACACAATTATCCTTCAAGGAATCTAGTCTAGTGTCAAAGGAATCCAAATAAGTTTGAACAATATTTACACAGTTTATATACGAGTTAAGTAAGTCCATCTACTCAGTAACACGCTGTCGTCCCATACTAAATCTAGGTGAAAATTAACTAGCCCGCCAGGACAGAGAGTACATGGCTACATGACCTAGATCCAATAATCACTTTCAATAGTCTGAGTGGTGAAAGCTGTTTGTTTTGAAATCTCACATCTACGTTTTAGGAGGCAGTTACTTTTGCTCAGAAAAACTTTCCCCGCGATCAAAGAACACTTTTGTTTTACCCAGTTATGGCTTTAGAAGTAGTAAGTGTTTCTGTGGGAATTTTCTTTCGTAAACTGCAGGCTTCTTTGTTCGGAGAAGTAACGTAGCTGCTGGTAATATGAGCTAACTTCTTGCCACTCTTGGTTGCATAAACACCTTTATATAGGTATTAAAGTATTAAACTGAGGACAGTCCGAAAGATTTTATATGGTTAGGCGTGGTGAAGAGAAAAGAACAGTTGAAATTATAAGTGAAAAATAACACTGGTGCCAGAAATAAGACACGGGTGGCATGATCGATCACATAGATGCTGGGAAGGGCCTACTGAATGGCTATTTCGGTGCATATTTTTTCCTGCCGTGGGTTGTGCGAGACTACTGTTTCTGACGACACTTCAACTCGTGTGAGTGTACCGCGTTTCAGCATGTGAATGCGATCCATCATACATATACACCTCCAAAACATCTGGAATTCAGTGATTAAGCAGAAAGATTTTTACGCACCTTATGATGAGTCTTACTGAATGCGGAAAGAGGGGGCTAGAGATGTCATACAGAAATTACCACTCACCTGTCGCTCAATAGCAAATGATGCCCTACCAGATTGCAAATCTCCGATAGAGGTTTTAATGAGAAGGATGCCATGCAACTCGCGCCACTGTTGCCAACATGTCATGCACAAACCACACGAACGGCCGAATCACACTTCGAAAAGGAAAACCACATCCGCCTACAAGGTTGCAGACCAGGACGTGACATGTGAACTGGAGGTCCTATTATTGGAAGATGCAGGATCAGTATATGCCACATAAAGATGGATGGGGAGAGATGAGCGAAACATAGGAGTCAGCCGTATCCTGAAAAGGTCAATCAACAAGAGAAGTGACTGCTAACCTGCGCCGTGAACTAGATTGTCTTGCACCTCTGATTTGTCCACTGAATCCTGCTTCATACGTACCGGTAGAAAGTTTTACCGAACGTGGACTATTAACGAATTTCTTAGCCACTGAAGCCAGAAGACGACAGAATTTTTCGCACAACGCTATCGTTCTTAGTGCGCCTGATAGTTTTGTATCAAACCGTGTGAAAGATGATTTCCTCCAAGCCTTTGTTCCGCATGAGTCAGTGTGCAAAACTCAGGGTCCCGGAAAGAGAACTAGTAAATGCCCAGCTCAGTGCTATTCCAGCTCAGCTCACTATGTAACATGAGGCGCCTCCGTGTTTGACCTAATTCCATTAATTGATCAAAACTCTTTGAAAAGGTATGGGTGCTTCTAGATCTTAGTCAACTTGGATTTTGCGCACGTGAATTGAAATGCCAGGGAGTCCCACAGCAAGCTTCGCCGAGATGATAGCCACCAGAAGCATGCCGATACCTGGGAACTGGCCCATCCCACTAGACAACTCTAAAAGCGTAGACCAGCGAAACCTGGCAGAATACATCGCTGTGTGCATGTCAGTACTGCTTCACTTACCAGTAAGGTAGTAACCACCGAAAGTAAAGGCGAAATCTCCTCCGCTTATGTAGATCTGTTCTCAGACCAAGGATTTAGACGGCGGTGGTAATGATTTTTAATCATGCATTTGATTCTGCAGCATGCGCTCATTAAATCCGCATCTCACGGAGGCAGCAATGCTGATGAGCCTTTTCCCTTCCTAAGCCTCTCAGCTACTATGTTGACCTCCAGATGCACTGACAGCACAAAGCCTCAAAGTGCCATGTTTTGGAGATATAAGCCTATAACTCCTAGTTTTGGTCGAATACCTAAGTACATAGACGAACTACTTGCCCTCAAGGGAGTTACTTTCAGCCCGCTTGACCTAGCGGTGATATTACTATTTATAGAGTGGCCTCGTCCCTCTCCTCAGATATTTCCTGGTTCCATCAGTAAGACGCCAGACGTTGCGGCTCCTTCGCTAACCAGCAGGAACGTAGGGGTCGTAAACCACGGCAGTAAGAAAGAAGAGTACATGTGTGAGAATAATTGTAAGGAAAACGACTCCTGCAATCAGGAGCAAAAGAGCTAAGCAAAGAATGTCTGGCTTCATTCCTCGCAAACCTTTTCAAAGCATCAAGTACCTCTTTATGTTCGTCGTGATACAATGATATCCCCATAACGCATTAAAAGATTTGAAAATTCCCCCTGCGCACTCTATTTGACAGTGGTTGTGTTTATTTGAATACTTTTACCATCATTATGGATATTATACTTTTGACCCCAACCGACGTAATAGTATTTTGTCGTTTGCCCATCTTCCTTGACTCCACACATTATTTGTTTTCGTTCTATCTTTAGCTGAAACCAGAGATGTGAGTTTCTGCTGAAAAGACCTACACCAGACTCGTAAATAGGCGGTTGCATTTAGATGAAAGCCTAGGTTTGTCGTGCTGGGGTCACCGCAATAGGCCTTAACCGTAAATCAACAGACCACGGGCCGATAAGTGGAATCATCGTCTGTCGGTATACAGAGAAGTGGGATATCGTGTGGGTAGCTGCAGTGAGAACTATATATTCTGCTTGTGGTACTAGCTTGCATGACTATGGAGGGCATTTTGGTTGTAAGTGTTGTCGCAGTCTTAGCATTTGTTCCTACTACCATAATTTAATATTTCTGACTGGAACCAAGGGCACTGTAGTCCTTAATGTCTTATTTCAAGAGATCTATATCGGGAGACGGGGTGGCTTTTAAAGTGTTATTTGCTGCGCCACGATTATTGGGTCCCAATATCTTCCTATGCGGAACACGAGAATGTCTGTAATATGTTGTAGACTTAGGGGATGTATCGGATCCAGAAAACCGGAGTTTGCATCTCGGAGGTATTTTGCACTGAAACCAAGCGCAATCAAACGCAGCTACGTTTAGCTGCTGTGGTTAAGAGCTTGGACGTAGAGAGGGCTTACTAGTGCTACAGGACTTGAGGGATACGGTTTTAATGAGTGCGCTCAGAGAGGTTAAATGTGCATTAGAAAGGCACACCTACACTTCCGAAAACAGTTTTACCTTCATCGTCATTGCCTACAATTTTTTAGTTTGGTCTGACAGCACCAATTTATGCGAAATGACAAATTTGTTCTGGTGAATTGGGCCGCTCTATATTTGAAGGTTGTCCGGTGATGTAAGATTTCACGACATTAGCTAGCTTCTAGTGGCTGGTGATCGAGCTGAGGCTGTCCGTGGGACTTCAAGCAGTTTGAATCTGCGTTTTCATGATGGACAAGGCGTGAGGTTTGAGAAATGTCTCACCTCACAAAATGTCATCGACGATACGGTTCTTGTTGGGTTTCAAAATTGTCTACTGTTGGCAAGCCGGTTAAACCGGAATAAGACCGGGTAAGAAAGTTTACCTACCAGATTTCTAATATGGCGTCCAGTGTGTGTCGACCTAAAAGTCACTTTACGCGTGTTGCGTTCCGATTCCGTCATGCGCAATTAAGATGACAGCAATATTATACGATGTAGGGTTTTTGCTGAGTTTAGTCGCCGTATCTTTACTGGATGCCCCACATTCCACAAATTGTCGACCGTGAGGTCTCTTGAGAGCCCCAAGAGGCATGTCAAAAGAGAGGCGAGATAAAAACTGCAAGATAGGTTCTGCTTTGCTAGAATGTTGCCAAAAATATCACACATGTTTGTTGCCATAGCACAATTTACGTCAATCATCAATTTCTACAGATTGATGCAACGGCCGCTAGCGATCGCATTGTTCCCAGACCCATGATAAGTGTGAAAATCACACTTCTCCGAATATAAGTGGCGTGTTGAATTTGTTATTTTGTATTAGTTGACGTATTTAACCTTGACTTTACAACTTAACGTTCGGTTGACTGTACCCACAGAGAAAATCGTATCCGTGTCCTGTGGGTCCCAAGTCCCAGTTTATGCCACGGGTTGTCTTCCGCTTTCACGCTAACACGGGGGGATCGGCAGCGTTTAGAATTAGATAAAAGACGACGGCATTCCACGGACATTATATAAGAAAATGAGTTAGACGAGAGCTCGTTATACAGTATGGTGCCTAAAAAAGCAAAAAAATATGAATATTTAGTTCCATTGCCACGAACAGACGCAGCAGAAATTAATGAGGCTGTACTTTTCGACCATAAAAATGATTAGGTTGAGGGTTTGCTCGTTGCATAGATGTTAGCTATTAGCCGCGCGCCGAACTCAACTTCGGAGGTGAACATGAGACCGGAACAAGAAAATTTGAAAGTCGATTTTTCGGTGTTCTAAGGCCCCAGGTACCGGCTAATCACGCGCACAGATGTCGACTGGTCCATTTTAGAGGTTATTTCAAGATAGCAAGTACTGAGTTTTGCAAACACGAGTCAAACCGAAGTAATAACCATAACAATCCACGAGGTGCGGTGGGTATATGTAGCCCTTTCTGGTAGGAAGTGGGACCTGATATCGCCCGAACTGCCCAAACCCCCCTAAACAACGGAAGGCGTTAAAATTAGAAGCAGGAAAGCCAGTAAGGTTTTCACCACGGGTTGAAAAGTGCGCAAACTTTTCGCGGTAGGACAGTAAACAGATTAAAGTGGCGTGAATATGAGCGATACGAATGTTCGGCTAGGAGAATGCTGGTGGGAGGGACAGTACCAGTTCGCCTCGTTTATTGACATGCTATGATCTAGAAAAATCTCTCCTTTGTCGTCACAAACTGATGCAAGCGTAACTGGTGACAGGTAGCTGAAATGAAGCCTCAACCCTAAGAAGTAACTGTAAGTGGAAGCAGTCGATGGCAAATTTCCAGTTTTTGAGGAACCAAATGTTTAGGTGACTTTTTAATCATGTGACATTTCACTAGGCCATCATCTTTAAACGTGAATTCTGGTTAGTTGTCGAGATGATTATTCTCAACTTTCCGTTACA